CAACTCCCCCTCCCACTCCTTAGACAACATGTCCATCCTGGACCTCCTGCAGTGCCACAATGATGCCACCCGAAGGTTGCAGGAACAGCACCTCATATTTCGCTTGGGAACCCTGCAGCCCAATGGTATCAATGTGGACTTCACAAGCTTCAAAATCTCCCCTCCCCCTACCACATCTCAAAACGAGCCCAGCTTGTGCCTGCCTCCCTAACGTGTCCTTCCTCCCACCTATCCCCTCCTCCCACCGCAAGCCCCACCCCCATCTCCTACCTGCTAGCCTTATCCCGCCCCCTCGACCTGTCCGTCCTCCCTGGACTGACCAATCCCCTCCCTAACTCCCCACCTACACTCACCTTTACTGACTCCACCCCCACATCTTTGACCTGTCTGTCTCCTCTCCACCTATCTTCTCCTTTATCCATCTTCTATCCGCCTCCCCCTTTCTCCATATTTATTTCAGAACCCCCTTTCCCTCCCCCATTTCTGAAGAAGGTTCTAAGCCTGAAACGTCAGCTTTCCTGCTCCTCTGATGCTGCTTGGCCTGCTGTGTTCTTCCAGCTCTACACCTTGTTATCTCACTTCCTCTCGCACCCCAGTTCTAGCCTGTAAAGTTCTGCGCCTCTCCCTCTGTGGTCTCACACCTATTTGTTTATCTTTCATAAAGTGTTCCTTTTAAATGTATATTTCAGAGTGAGGATGCCCAATACTGCTATAACGCTGTACTTATGAAACTTACCAATGCAGCAGCATTAAACCTATTGCTTCTAATCAACTGCTCCAGAACGAATACAGAGATTTGCAAATTCTGTGATTTTAGATTATGGTTCAGACCACCCTGTGATCTTGTCTGATCTTGGGTGCAAAACAAACCTGGGACTGGCTACTCTTTAGCTAAGAGGCTGCCTGTAAGTATAAGCTACGAGGAAAACAGATCCTATTAATTAAGTGCATGCTTCAAAATCCCTGTTCCAACACATATTTTCTTATTTTTATCCACTTCAATAACCATCTGCTATTCTTTTTTTGTCTTGTATTCCAGAAATTCATGATTAAAACATTAGGAAGTTGCTGAGGAAACAAGTACACGTAGAAGCTCATAGGTTAAGAACGTTTGGCGGAGCAGGCTTGTCAAGACAAAGGTACATTCGCTCTCAGCGATTTCCTACTTTCCATTTCAAGCCACTAACATCAGCTGCCAAACTCTGAGGTCAAAACATCTTTCCTGAGGTCAAAACATCTTTCCTGAGGTCAGGCACACAGACAGTAAGAAATCTTCCAGATCGGATCCAACTAAACCATTATTTTATTCTGGTACAAATCCACCCACTTGTAATCTGCATAAATCTTGTACAAGCATACGCTCTGCACAACCCTTAAAAAGATGTTGAGTTGGGACACTTGGACCTATTAGAAGCTGCTTTCATGACTTTTGTGACTAAACATTTTATGAAATTTCTGCAAAAACAAATGCACATTTGGGAACAATCTTCCCTTCTGCCCTCTGGTATCAGGAGAGATTAACAAACTTTCTGGACCATCTCCAAGCAACCAGCACCCAGCATGGGGTAGTGCCAGCGGTGTGAATCACTGGGGTCTGTGTCATTAGCGGGTCTGAGCTCAGGCAGCACTGACCTCGCTATGACTGTGACCAATCAGAGGTAAGCCAACTCCACCTGACATCATAGAGACAGAAGGCTCTTTGCAAGGCTGCTCCAATCAGAGAGTCCGCCTCTGTCATGCTTCTCCAATCATGGGTGGTTTCTATCCCAGATTCAAAGCTGATAGGTTCATGAGTGAGCCTATCAACATCCAATGTGGGAGAGAGCCAGCCTATGATTGGAGAAGCAGTATGGAATGGCTATGTGCAGCAGGTCCATTGCATCAAGGCCTCAGGGGTTGTCAAGCAGGGTCCCAGGCCTCAGGAGATTTCGAGTATGGAACTGGGCATTGTGCTGGGCATGTGGGGGTAACTGGTGGCTAGGTCCAGAGGGTGCAGGAGAGATGAGATGAAGAAGGAGGCTGTAAAGAGTTGGGGAATGGTGGGGAGAGAATGGGGAAGGAGAAGTTTGCAAAGAGTGTTGGGAAAAGGATGCTACAAGATGTGAGGGGACGAGAAAGGAGAATACTTTAAGAGGTAGAGGGGGAAGTTTAATGTAAATTGATACTTGAGAATATTGATAAATTCTTCTAATTCGGCTTTTGTGCAAATCTAATATGTCAACTCAATTTCAGAAGGCATTGTTACTGCATGGCAGTGTCACCAGCCAGTATCAGTGAGAATGAATAAGAAAGCCCCTGACAACTGAGCAGTAGTATCTGAAAAAATCTCAAGAACCACCCTTGAAAGAGAATATATTTTGCCGTTGGTTCGGGTTCAAAGAAATGGAGCAGGTTGCATAATATAAACAACTGAGTAATTGTCTGACAAAGGCTTGGCTGTGAACTGTATCATACTGAAACCTAAGCTTACAGTGGGCATTTTTCATTGAGGCATAGAGTGCAAAGGAAAAACATTTTGCAGGCACCTATATGAAATAGTTTGACCTCACTGTGCCTTTGGTTTCCGATCCTTGGCACCAGAAGTTTGTGAAGGCTTTGAATAGCGTTGAGAAGAGATTCACTAAAATGATTCCAAGGTTCAGGGATTACAGAGAGGCTGGTGTTGTCTCCCTATGAGCCAATGATCAACAATCAGTTAGCTCAGATCTAATTATATTTAATTTGATTAGCAAAATAACCAAAGAAGGCCCGAAACGTCAGCCTTCCTGCTCCTCTGATGCTGCTTGGCCTGCTGTGTTCATCCAGCTCTGCACCTTGTTATCTAACACGACAAAAATCTTTTACACACAGAGTACTTAAGATTTGGAATGTACTCTGTCCCTGACAGGTGACGCGGTGGCTCAATGGTTGGCACTGCTGTCCCACAGTACCAGGAACCTGTGGTCAATTCCTGTCCACGGGCGACTCTCTGTGTGGAGTTTGCACATTCTCTCCGTGTCAGTGCAGGTTTCCTCCGAGTGCTCTGGTTTCCTCCCACAGTCCAAAGATGTGCAGGCTAGGTGGATTGGTCATGGGAAATTGCCCCATAATGCCCAAGGTTGTGCAGGTTGAGTGGATGTGGATGAGGTGCTCTTTGGAGGGTTGGTGGGCCAACTGACCTCTTTCTGCACTGTAGGGATTCTATGATGTTGTGGCAGATACAAATTCAAATTAGCATTGAAAGGGGAATTAGATAAATACTTGGAGGGCAAAAATAAGAATTTAATGAGCAAGTACAGCATTGGGGTAGGACTGACAGGATTTCTCTTCAAAAAAATGGGCACAGTTTTGTTGGTCAATGTATTCTACTTCCTCCAGAATGCATTGCGAAGGTGCTCAACAGAAGTTGTCATGTGTGAAAGTGGATGTGGGGAGAAATGGGGCCCAGAAACCAGTCCTTTCCCTTGCTCTGCAAACAACCTTTATGCTGCCCCTTGCTTTGGAAACCCCTTTCTAAACCTCTCCACCTTTCTTTCCTTCTTTGAGGCATTCTTCAAATGGTACCTTTTTAACTGAGTTATTGGTGACCTGTCCTTACAGTTCCTTATATGTTTTCGAATCAGGTTTTGTTCTTGAATGCCCTGTGCAGTATATTGCAACATCTTAGTGCATGAAGGGCGCTATACAAATACAAATCCTATGTTCCAACCCCTTGAGACAAACATTCACACAAATTTCTTTACTTTCATTCACTCGATTACAGTGGCTTTTATACAGAACATCCTCCACAGTTCCAAGCTTATCACCATTTCAAAAATACTTGGATCTATCGTTCTCTGGTCCAAAGAAGCTGGCTTTGCAATTCCCACATTCACTTCCATTCTGCTGCGACTTTCCCGACCAACCTAATCTGCCAACTTTTTATGAGTTTGTGGATTGACAGGGATTGGGGTGTGTCCCCCAAATGTTAGTTCATCATGAGAACGTAAAAGCAGATTTGGCACGTCTGATATGCCATTATAACATCAGCGTGTTTCTGTGCTAACAGATTCTCCCAGTGTGATGTCCAACATTAAAATAACACCCTTGGGTTTTTGAAGGATTTATCTTTTGAGCCCTTGCTTGCCTTGAGATTGCATGGATGTTGCACAGATCTGTATGCTTCATCAAAACTCCTGAATAAACTCAGTCGTTCCTTGAGCTGCAATGATGACAAGCAACTTCTTTAGAAAAATACTTTAAGGTGACAAATATCGGCAGCTAAATAAAAACCAAAAGATCTGCAGATGCTGGAAATCAGAAGCAAAGACAGAAATTTCTGGAGGAGCTTAGCATCTGTGGAGAGAAATCAGAATTAATATTTCGGGTCCAGAGACCTTTCCTCAGAACTGTATTAGCAGCTCCTGATAGCAGAGCCCTTCCAAAGCCACCTCTTTTGATGTGTCACAACTGATGACAGTAAAGCTGACATGGACTCTAGGATACTTGTTCTCTGCTTTCACCTCAAGGGGACATAATGCCACAGGAGTCCGATAGCTACCCACTAGCCTTTCACATTCTTTGACAGGATGGGCATCAATGACAAGCTCAGCTTTCATTATCTGTCCCTAATTGCCCTTAAACTGAGTGGTGTGTGGGGTCATTTCAGAGGGCATTTGGCAGTCAATCACAGTGCCATGAATCTGGAATCATACATAAGCCAGGCTAGGCAAGGATGGCAAATGTCTTTCCAGAAAGACTATTAGTGAAGCAGATGGCCTTTTGTTTATGACAGTGGCTAATAGATTAATGGTCACCAGCATTGAAACTAGCTTTCAATTCCCGATTTCTTGAATAATTGAATTGAATATCCCTCATCTGCCATGGCAGGATTTGAACCTATGTTCCCCAAAGAGTTAGATTGGATTTGTGTACGATGACCTTATCATTTCTCCACCATCAGTGAGGTGCATAGATTGATGCATAACAGGCATGTAGCCATACAACAGCCCATTTATTCGTGATAGAAAAGTCTTACTCACCACCAAATCTCGATTTGTTTGGAAGGATTCCAAATAATTGGAGTAATGCTCATTATCCATCTGCTTGAATATTGCAGTCATGCATGCCACAAAGTTACTCTGCAATAAAGAAACATCAAGAGAATTAGCCATGAAGAATGCTACATGTAAGTTCTATTCTTTCCTTTCATTTCGAAGACAGGTTGCCATTTTCAGAGGGAAGACAAAATCCTTTGTAGCAACTGTGATCACAACTAATGCTGATACTAAGGTCTTTAAAGTGGTTACACAACTCCTGGCAGGAGAATGAGGCATTAGATAAACCCTCTCCTGTAAACTTATACGCAGTTTTGATAACTGGTCAGGGGATCTGCTTTGCTCCATACAATTTACTACTCATTCTCTCTCCACCCTACCTTGTTCTCTGCTTCCTAGCACTTGAACCTTTCCCTTTGGAGAAGCAGATTAAGACTCAGTTTAGGGATAAAACGTTGTTATACTGAAAGAGTACAGTAATGCCCAAGTTCAGGATTCTAAATATTTTTTTTTCCTTGGGAGAACTTCCTTCTATTTTTACTGGCTAGTTTGGAACAGTTCCAAGGCAGATGACCAAGAAAATTTGAAGGTGAAAGATCTAGTGTTGGAATTTTATTTTAATTCAATAACTGGACACAGATATCACTGGTTGGACCAGTATTTATTGCCCATCCTTAATTGCCCTTGAGAAGGTGGTGGTGAGCTGTTAATTTGAAGTTAGAATACAGTACAGCACAGCACAGGCCCTTCGGTCCACAATGTTGTGTCGACCTATTATCCTGCTCTAAGATCAAACTAACCTGCATACCCTTCATTTTAATATCATCCATGTGCTTATCCCAGAGTCATTTAAATGTCCTTAATGTATCTGACTCTATTACCACCACTGGCAGTGCATTCCACGCACCCACCATTCTCTGTGTAAAGAACCTACTTCTGACATCTCCCCTATACCTTCCTCCAATCACCTTAAAATTACACCCCTTTGTGATAGTTATTTCCGCCCAAGGAAAAAGTCTCTGGCTATCCACTCTATCTATGCCTCTCATCATCTTGTACACCTCTATCAAGTTGCAGTCCATTTGGTGTAGATACACCAACAATGGCATCAAGGAGGGAGTTTAGGACTTTGACTCAGTGGCAATGAAGGAATTCCAATCTATTTCCAAGTCAGATGATGGGGCTCTCTTGGTACACTTGTAGTGTCCCTACCTCTGAACTAGGAGAACCTGGGTTCAAGACCCATGTGCTCCAGAGGTGTCTTATACCATCTCTAAACAGGTTGATCAAAATATATCCTCCAAGCCGGGATGGTGAGTGGCTTGGAGGGGAACTTGCAGGTAGTGATGTTCCTTTGTATTTTCTGCTGTTCTTCTAGATGGTCGTAGTTGTATGTTTTGGAAGTACTGTGTGAGGATCTTTGGTGAATTTCAGCAGTACATCTTGTAGATGGTACATACTGCAGTTACTGAGCTTCAGTTGTGGAGGGAGTGAATGTTTGTGGATGCGGTGCCAGTCAAGCGGGCTGCTTTCTCCTGGATGGTGTCAAGCTTTCTGAGTGCTATTGGAGCTGCACTCATCCAGACAAATGGGGAGAATTCCACCACACTCCTGATTTGTGCCTTCTAACTGACGGGCAGGCTCTGGGGAGTCAGGCGGTGAGTTACTCCTACAGCTTTCCTAGCCTCTTACCTACACTTGTAGCCCCAGTAATTATGCGGTAAGTCCAGCTTGTGGTCAATGATAAACTCCAGGTTGTTGATAGTGGGGGATTCAGCAATGGAGATGCCATTGAGTGTCAAGGGGTGATGATGAGATTCTTTTTGCTGGAGGAAGCTGTTGGCAAGCATTTGTTTGGCATGTATGTTTCTTGCCAGTTTTCAGCCCAAACCTGAATGCTGAAGAGCTATTTGCATTTGAACATAAATTACTTCAGTTTCTGAGGAGTCATGAATGGTGCTGAATATTGCGCAATCAGAGAAAATGCCCACTTCTGACCTTATGTTGAAGGGAAGGTCATTGATGAAGCAGATGAAGATGGTTGGACCTAGGACACTACCTGGAGGAATTCTTGCAGAGATGTCCTGGAGCTGAGAGGACTAATCTCGAACAACCACAACCATCTTCCTTTGTGCCACATATGACAACAAGCAGTGGAGAGTTTTCCCTCAATACACATTGATTCCAGCTTTGCTTGGGCTTCCTTGATGTCATACTCAGTCAAACATGGCTTTGATGTCATTTGATGTCAAGGGCTGTCAATCTCACCTCACCTCTGGAATTCAGCTCTTACGTCTGTGTTTGAACCAAGGCAGTATTGAGGTCAGGAGCTGAGTGGCCCTGGTGGAACCCAAACTGGGTGTCACTGAGCAGGTTATTGTTGAGTAGGTGCTGCTTGATGGCACTGTTGATCATACCTTCCATCACTTTACTGATGATTAAGAGTAGACTGATGGGACAATAATTGGCCGGGTTGGATTTGTCCTGCTTTTTGTGTACAGGACATACTTGGGCAATTTTCCATGTCGCCGGGTAGATGCCCATGTTATAATTGTACTGAAACAGCTTGGCTAGGGGTATGGCAAGTTCTAGAGCACAGAACAATGTTGGAATGTTGTCAGGACCCATAGTTTTGCAGTATCTGACACATTCAATTATATTTTAATATCAAATGGAGTGAATCAAGTTAGCTGCAGACAGGCATCTGTGATGCTGGGGGCTTATGGAGGAGGCCGAGATGGATCACCCACTCAGCACTTCTGGCTGAAGATTGGTGCAAATGCTTCAGCCTTATCTTTTGCACTGATGTGCTGGGCTTTCCCACCATTGTGGATGGGGATATTTATGAACCTCCCTCCTCCAGTGAGTTGTTTAATTGTCTACCAACATTGCATGCGGCAGGACTGCAGGATCTCAGATCTGATCTATTGGTTGTGGAATCATTCGGCTCTGTCTATTATTTGCTGTTTATGTTGTTGCAATTAGTTGCAATTTGTGGCAATGCAATTACTTCTAAATTGCAGCTTCACCAAATTGATCATTTATTTTTAGGTATGCCTAGTGCTGCTCCTGGCATACCCTCCTGCATTCTCCATCGAAACAGGATTGATACCCCAACTTAATGGTAATGGTTGAATGAAGGATGTGCCGACCATGAGGTTGCACATTGTGTTAAAATATAGTTCTTCTGCTATTGATAGCCCACAGCGCCTCATGGATGTCCAGTGTTGAGGTGTTAGATCTGTTCAAAGTCTGTCCCTTTTAATCCAGCCCCACAACTCGCTGGAGGGTATTCTCAATGAGAAGAAAAGACCTCATCTCCACACCACTTTTCTGGTCACTCTTATTGATACTAACATAGACATGTATCTGTGGCAGGTAGAGTGGCGATGACGAGATCAAGTGTGGTTTTTTTATTGGCTCCCTGACTACTTGCCACTGACCCAGGCTACGAGCAATTTCCTGCAGGACTCAGTCAGTATTGCTGCTCCTGTGTCACTCTTGGTAATGGGCACTGAAGTTCCCTACCTACAGTACATTCTCATGACAAGGATGCCCTTGACATCCTCAGTGCTCCCTCCAAGTGTGATTCAATATGGAAGAGTGATGGTTCTGAACTGTATTGCTGAGTGGGTTCAGTTAGCTCAGATGGCTGGATGGCTAGTTTACAATACTCAGTGATGCACAGCATGGGTTCAATTCCCACAATGGCTTACATTACCATGAAATCCCACTTCCTTAACAGCAACCCTCACCTGAGGCATGGTGACCCTCAGGTTAAATCACCACCACTTGTCTCTCACTCTCTCTTTGAGAGAGAAGCCTTATGGTCCTGTGACAACTGTACCTTGCCTTTCTGCACTTGCCCTGTCCATTGCCCACTGTGCCACATGTTTAAAGGAGGTATGGTTATGCCCACTTTAGGATTTACCCTTTGATTCCTCTCCAACTCTTCCCAACTCTCACCACAACAGAGTAGTGGGTGAGCCCATTCTTTGGCCCTTTATGCAGGACACCTCAAATGGGTCAGCAGGACTGGGTCAGAGCTGACCTCATCTATTTGAAGAACTGGATAATCCACATGGCATTGAAGAACCACAGCTGGCACCTTGAGATAATTGTTTATAAGAGAAATGTCAGTCACCAACCAGATACACTCCTGCAGCAACTTGGTTGCTGTGTAGTGCTGTGGGCTGTGCCCAGTAACTGGAATAAATCAGCAAACTCATTCTGTTCAGGGGTCAGACCCCTGTACTGCAATCTACCAACAAGAGCGTATAATCTTGGTTAAGACTCGAGTCGACAGTAGTACAGCAAGAGTTGTTACGCTGTCAGAAATGCTATCTTTTAAGTCAGGCATTTAAACAGGGGAGCCCTCTCTGCCCTCTCAAACTGACATACAAGATCCTAATTTGAAGAAGAGTTGGGGAGAGAATTTGTAACACCCCAGCTAACCTTCATCCAGCATCAACGCTGTAGACTGTCTGGAAAATTACACAACATCTCCATAATGGAAAACAGGCCGTGGTGCTATTTTTTATAGGTACGGCAAGTAGAAAATCCAGATTTGCCCCCGCCCCCCCGACTCTGCACCCTCTCTCCTTGCACCCCCTTCCCACCACGTCCATGCTCAAGTCAGCTGAATTGGTGTAGAAAAGGATAAAAGTAGGCTGGGGTAGCTATGTGCTACACAGATCAGGGCACATTTGCCTAACAAATTCATTTGGCAAGCTGAAAATGGATCCTTAACACGAAGTGTGTCTAATGATGAAAAACAATCAGCAGCTATGTAAATCATACAGTATTTTAAATTTAGAAATGTTCTGGAAACACTGCATAACAATCATTGAGCTTTAAATGACTGGTGCTGAAATATTCTTCTCGTGTCTGAACTTCACAACTAAATGTTACAACATTGGAAAGCACAGTGCCTCAACCCTGAGCATCTGTGGTTTTATTGAAATTTGAACAGCGATCATTGCATTGTGTTGAGCAGTGTCCCAGCCCCATAACTACTGAGTAAAACCCAGAAGGTATCTGAGAGCCCATGCTGTTATGACCAGTCAGAAGTTGAAAGGAACATC